ACCTGAAGAAACATCTTAATAAACTTCCTGCACACAGTTATCCATCACAGAGCCTATTTCTCTGAGAATCCAACTTAATGCAATACTACACTTGTATTTGGTAAAGAATATGTCTCCTGTGTAATCCCAATTTTCAAAAAATTTCTTGATGTTATATATACATATATTTATCATATATACATATTATATATATGCATACATTATATATACATATATTTATCCTACCAAATCAAGTTTTAGATTTGTGGCTGTTCTTTTGTATTCCATTTATTTCCATATCATCAATTTATCTTTTTTCCTCTGTGCTCTGGCTTTCCTTGTGAACTTTGGCTCCTGACACTTAGTCTGCTATGTTTTGGCTCAAGTTTATCTCCCAGAGATCCGTATGTTAGAAGCATGGTCCCCTTGTATCATGATGGGAAGTGGTGGAACTTTCAGGAAATGGACCTTGGTGGGAGGTGATTAGATCATTGGAAGCATCACACATGGAAGAGACCAAGGCAGTTTTCATAGGATCTTAATTAATTATATCAAAAATGTTGTTTAAAAAAAACCCTGATCCCTCCCTACTTTCTGGCTTCCTGTCTCACCACGTAATCTGTCTTTCTAGTATGCACTGCCATCAAGATGCCATCTGCTGTGATGTGATGTAGCCATGAGAGCCTCACCAGAGGTCGAACGAGGGGGATAGCCCAATCAGTACTTTCAGTGTACAAAACTGTGGGCAAAATAAACCTCATGGATTTCATTATAGTAAAGTAAAATGAATTGAAGATACCATGTTTTCTTTATTCTTCTTGATGTTTTATGATTTTCCTCTGAGTTCCCTGGTATCTCATTTTCAGAGTTTTTCTTGATGCTGTTCTTTCATTGTAAGAAATATTCATATGCTTCATGTTGACTTAATTATCTTCACCCATTCCAATAATCCACAGAAACTCTATTGTCACAAGTGAGTTGAATGTGTAAATTATCAGTAGAACCACAGGCTTATTTGCTGGTTTATTCTCCTTTGCAGATCTCTGCTGCAGTGAATGGATGAATTGGTGAGCTCATAACTGAAATTTCCGTAAACAGAGAACTTCTCTAACCTAATTGTCTGGTCCTCTGTTACTCAAAACAAGTGAACAAAATGAAAATGGCTTGCACACCTTGAGGAGAACATTCTGCTCACTTCTTGCCACTACATACACACACGCACGCTCACAAAACACATTGTGTTACTGGGAATTGTGCTTATTGGAATTGAATGTACTACTGTGGGGGCCAGCCATCTGGGGAGCTCATACCTTTCCTGCAGTTTCTGCACAGCTGGTCCTGGGACTGTCTGCCAGTGACAGCTGTGGAAATACCGAAGCAGAGAAATATAGACACATTCCTTTCATAGGTCCTGGTGTACACCCAAAGAGTTGCAGGCTAGCACATCATTTTTCTGGTATAATCCTTGGCTCTTTTTAGTTGGGAAAAGTAGGGGTTGGGTTGACTGAGACGAGTGCTCGATCCTTTTTATTTTCTGAAATTTTGTGTGACCTAAAAACAAGACTCAGTTATGCTGTGAGGCATAGATGCACTGTATTTTTAGCTCATTAATATCTATCTTACTGCAGGTGGAGATTATCTTCACTTCTGTCATTAAGTTGTCTATCAGCTTTCACTTTCAGAGATAAGAGCTTTTTCATCTTTCTTTAGCCTCACTGTTACTGTAACAGGAATTTAGAAGACACAGAAATGGGGATGCTGTCCAGATTTATTCAGAATGAGAATTCTTAATGGTATGTTTAAAAAGAAAAAGCCTCCCAACCTGACTGTGAAGTAGTGTTACTCCGTTTGGTCACTTAATAAGCATCTTTGACGCTCTGTGTCAGGCACAATCACTAAGTGCTTTGGAATAAGGAACTGAATAGTGCATTTCCCTTTCCCCGCATGACTTGTATCACACTTGGCAGCCAAGTGCTAACATAACAAATAACTACAATACAGTGCATTAAGTTAGAATCTGGTGTGTAGTTCAATAGAACAAGGAGGGAGAAGAGGCCATCTGTGCATGGGGATGGTCAAGGACAATGTTAAAAAAAAAAAGTGGTGCCATGCGTGTAGGTTCTGGAAGAATGGGAAAGAGCACACAAGTAGAAAAAAAGGAGAGACATGAGATCCTGGGTAGAGAGAGTAGCACATGCACACGTAGAGACAATGAATCTCTTGCTGTACAAGCTAAGAAATTTGTAAACAATGAAGACATTGATGTATATTAAGGAAAGGGAAGATGGGATAATATTTCTGCTTTAAAACTTCTGTTTATAGAAAGTTTCTTGAGTGAATGTTACATACCAGGAACTGTGTTGTGATTTAAATAACACTGGGATCCACTGGCTGAATCAAATTTTTTAAAGGAATCAGATTTGGTAGAGTTCCATACAGATTTCCATTTATTCAGAAAGAGAAACTGGAATAAAATACACTTAGGCTAGTATCTGTTTCCATTTTGCACTAAAGATTAGGCTCAGTTTCAGACTGCTGTGTCTTACATTCCCTTATCTATTAAATTCTTCTACCCAATGACAGCTGAATTTTTATTTTCTTGTCTGAATATCTACCATTCATACTTACTTTTCTGGCCATGCAAAGTATCCTGGGAAATTCTTAGGCTGGAAAACAATTTTACATTTTGGATAAAATAATGAAATCTCTTGTCAGAGATGTGATAGAGATGGTAAAATTTTAAGGAAAATCCTCAGAGTGGAAAAGAAAGCCAAAATACAGCGCAGAGCATTAAGCTAAGCTGAAGCCAACGGCTACCTGGAAGTGTTAGCCTTGTAGACCCAGAGCTCCAATTCAAGTGGAAGCACACTGGTAGGAACTAAAACCTAGGATTGCACAGGTCAAAGAGTGATTGAGATATGGTAATAAAAATAGAATTCCTGACATGTCTTAACATCAGTGGATAGAAAATGATGAGGCAAAACAAATCCACCTTGCAGAGCAAGATAGAAGTAACTTTGCTTTTCTCAGTTTTTGGCTGGAGTTGGGGGTTTTCCATCTGAAGGTTTTGACTTCCAAGCCAATTTCTGTATAGCTTTGAGTTCACATTTACACATGTGTTGATGTAAAGAATTTGACAAGACTCCAAATTCAAACACGTTAAACCTAAAAGTTCTGTTCATCAAAAGACTCTATTTAAAGAATAAAAAGGTATGCTATAATCTGGAAGAATATAAAAAAAAAAACACAAAAAAAATCAAAGAATTTGTATCTGGAATATACAAAAACTCCTGTAAAGTATTAACAGACAAGTGATTTAAAGGTACAATAAGCAAGAAACTATTTTTTGACAGGCAGTTAGACAGTGAGAGAGACAGAGAGAAAGGTCTTTCTTTCCGTTGGTTCACCCTCCAATGGCCGCTACAGCCATTGAACTGCGCCGATCCAAAGCCAAGAGCCAGGTACTTCCTCCTTGTCTCCCATGTGGGTGCAGGGCCCAAGCACTTGGGCCATCCTCCACTGCCTTCCCAGGCCACAGCAGAGAGCTGGACTGAAAGAGGAGCAACCGGGACAGAATCTGGTGCCCCGACCGGGACTAGAACCCTGGGTTCCGGCACCACAGGTGGAGGATTAGCCTAGTGAGCCACGGGCCGGCCTATAAACAAGAAACTATTAATCCATGCTTTTTTTTTTTTTACAGGCAAAGTGGACAGTGAGAGAGAGAGAGAGAGAGAAAGATCTTCCTTTTGCCGTTGGTTCACCCTCCAATGGCCACCACCGCCAGCGCGCTGCAGCCGGCGCACCGCGCTGATCCGAAGGCAGGAGCCAGGTGCTTCTCCTGGTCTCCCATGGGTTGCAGGGTCCAAGCACTTGGGCCATCCTCCACTGCCCTTCCAGGCCATAGCAGAGAGCTGGCCTGGAAGGGGTGCAACCGGGACAGAATCTGGCACCCTGACCGGGACTAGAACCCGGTGTGCCAGCGCCTCAAAGTGGAGGATTAGCCTATTGAGCCACGGCGCTGGCTAATCCATGCTTTTTAATGGAGGAAACTCAACTGCCTAATAAATATATGAAAAAGTGTATGATTTATTAGTAATCAAGAAAGTGCAAATTAAAGTCAGAATGGTATTGCATTATACATTTGAAAGTGTGATGAAGATAAAGTGCAACAGGACTAAACGTTGAAAGGAACGGAAAGCAATAGAAAGTCTTTCTACAGTGATGTGGATCTGGAAATTAGTATAACTATTGTGGAAAACAGTTCTATTTTATTCAGGTTAGTTGAATATCCATGTATCTTGTGACCCAACCAAACTAGATATCTAGCTGTAAATGATATATACGTGTATTTATAACATAGGACAGTATAAGTGTATTGTCCCCTGGAGGCATGTACGACACTGAGTTTGTTCACAAACTGGGAAGAATCCCCATGTTTATTTTATTTTTTAAAAATATTTACTTGTTTATTTGAAAGGCAGAGTTATAGAGAGAGGGAGAGACAGAGAAAGAGAGAAATCTTTCATTGGCCAATTCACTTCCCTAAACAATTCCAAGCATTAGGGCTGGACCAGGCCAAAGCCAGGGGCCAGAAACCTCCTCCAGGTTTCCCATGTGCGTGCAAAGGCCCAAGCACTTGGGCTATCTTCTGCTGCTTTCTCAGGCCATTAGCATGGAGCTAGATTGAAGTGTAGTAGCCAGGAATGAACTGGCGCCCATATGGGAAGCCCATGTTGCAGGTGGCGACTCAACTGTTAAACTACAATGCAGACACCAGAAGACACATGTTTCTTAATTAAAATATGTAAATTATAGAACATTCACACAATTGAATATGATTTAATAAAAATGACATGGACAAGTAATTGCATCCACAGACATGAATTTCACACACATAACAGAACTATCAATCACAGAAGAATATGGACATAATGATTCTACTTATGAAAGATTTCATATCATTTATTTTTATATTATTATGTATTAAAGTATTATTAATTTAAAGATGCATATATCTGTAGTGTGTAAAACTGTGAAAAAAGTGAAGGAATAACTATATAAAGTCACAGCAATGGATACCTGCTCAGCGCATGGAAGGAATGATATGATGACATCAGGAAGGGTCACACGAAGAGTTCCTAATGTCCCAGACGATAGGAATAAAACATTAGCATAACATGCTTCATTCTTTGTCTCAAAATGGATCTTACAGTTAGCGATTGTCTTCATAATACAACAAATGAAAACAATGAGAAGGTGCATCTCCTTCCCCTGTGTCCCCATCTCACCCCTGATCTGCCACTCCTCTCCTCTCCTCCAGTTTCCAGTTTCCTAGTGATCTGGGATTGCAGTAGTCAGAGGTTCTAGTCTGCAAAAGGACAAATGCTTGGTCCTTCTGTGTTAGTCAGACAAGGCTGAAGTCATCAGCAGATCCCAGTATGCCCACGATTTGGCACAGTAGCAGTTTCCTGCATCCTCACCTCTGAGTCAAGGCAGTTGCTCAGTGTGTGGGTCGTCTCTCACTCAGGGTTGGACTGATGGAGACTCTTCCATTATCACACTTGGTCTCTCCAGACATCACCAACCTTGCTTGCTTCAAGACAGAAAGGTTAGAGGAGCAGATGTGGCTCTTTGTGACACAAACCTTCAAGCAGGCCCTGAGTTACTCCTGCTTAGGCTCTGTCGTGAGAACCCTGTCCCTGACCACACCAGGGAGGATTCAGATGTATTCACAGAAGGCTGGATTTGCTTGCCCATACCTTAACCTGAAACAAAGACAGTTAACATCATATTCAGTCTCCTTAAACATCATCTCTTTTTCTCCAAAAGCCAATATTTCATCTCTTAGAGATGAACCGTTGTTGAATAAAAGAAATGAAGTGAAATTTCTAACCCTTCTAAAACCAATTAATTGTGATTACCAATATCCGTATCAATGTTATTTCTTGTTCACCTTTACAAGATATCATTTTTATGGATAAAGGGTCTTGTCCCAATCTCCTATGTCTGTGAGTTTATGAAGGTAAAATCACAAAGCCATTTTGTTCAGCAAATCTGCTTAGAGCTGAAGTCACCTCAGACCCTGTGTGCCTCTTTAGGTAGCTTAATTTTTTTTACCTAAAACTCCTTTCCTGGTTGGGTATCAATGCTGCAAGATTTTTCTTCCCTGTGCTAGTGAGGAGTTTTCTTTGTTTTTAGTAAGAGGCCCAGTCTAGATAACTTGCCTATTACACCAACAGGGAGCCTTGACTTTCTGTCTTGAGTGGCCTGTGCTTGGCCCTGAGTTGGACCAAGTAAGCATGGAGTAAGCTTCTCTTTGTGCTGCGTTTAGTTACATGTCTGCAATTGCTGCCTTCAGGAAGGGACCTCCTGAAGGTCTGTCAGGGAGCACGGGGCATGTGACAGAGTTCATAGATTTTTGGATCAATGGGTAAATGGCAGAGAATTTTATTCTAAATTATTTGTTTTATTTATTTATTTATATTAATTTATTCTACATTAAAATTCAGTTCTTCACAGTGTGCTTTCTCATTTTTACTTGTTGAAGTCTTTATTTAGTGGAGCATTAAGCCTTTACTATAAAGTAAATTAAAAATATGTTGTTGAAAAAATTAATGAAAGAAAGGAAGGACGAGGGAGGGAATTATCATTCTATTCTTAGAATTCTGTTAACTACGTGGAATCTGTTCTCTTTTATTAACAAAAATGTAAAAAATAGAAAAGAAGAAGACAAAACAAAAAATTCATTTCTGTGACCTATAAAAAGGAGAATCCAGGAGTATATGCAGAAGTATGGTTGGTAAGTCCTACCTTTTCTCCTATAATAGACTGATCCTTCTCCTCATGAGAAGTTAACAAAACCACTATTACCACTTCATATGATTGGATTGGATCCAAATCAGTAGGAGGCAATGAAAAGAATACTAATCTTTTTTTTTTCCAATAATTTTAATGCAATCATTTCAAGAAACCATTATTCTGTTTGCTCCTTTTCCAGAGTCATTCTTGGCATTGCATCTGCATTCTCATTGCCGAAGCCACCGTTGTGCTCTACATTCCAATGATCTCATGACTCTTGCAGTATTTCTCCCTCCACTCCGTGGGGTGCCACCAGGGAGGATTTTGCTAATACAAATCAAATCAAAAAGACTCCTAAAAAGTTTTAGTGTTTTTTTCATCACTCACATTTATTCTTACAGAATAAATGATTAATAATAAGATTTGTGAGAATTTCCTACGTCATGGGTGTTATAGTGAACACTTGGAATGCATAACTTCATTTAATTATCCCAATAAACTATGTTATGAATGCTTATACCTTCCCATATTACAGCGGAGACATCCAAGGCTTAGCCAATAATTAGACAGAAGTTACTAAGATGGTATCTTAGTCTGCACTGGCTGCAATCACAACATGCCATAGACTGGGTGGCTTAAATAACAGAAATTCATTCTTCACCGTTCTGGAAGCTGGGAATTCTGAGATAAGGAACCAGCAGATTCAGTGTCTGGTGTGCACCCTCTGCTTGGCTTGCAGATAGCCACCTTCTTCCCATGTCCTCACACGGCAGGGATAAAACACTAGTTCTCTGATATATCTTCTTATAAGGGCACTAAGTCCATCATCTGGGGCCCTACCCTCATGACCTCATTAACCCTGAGTATCTCCCAAGGGCTCCATTCCCCAAATGCCATCACATTGGTGGGTAAGACTCCACCATGGGAATGAAATCCAGAGAGGCAGAAAGACACACACACACACACACACACACACACAATGAGAGAGAGAGAGAGAGAGAGAGAGAGAGAGAGAATCTTCCAATCTTCCATGTGCTGGTTCTTCCCCTAAAATGCTTTCAACAGCAGGGGCTGGGCCAGACCAAACCTAGGAAATGGGAACTCAATCTGGATATCCCACAAGAGTGGCAGGCACTCAAGTATTTGAGCCTCCCAGGTGTTCATTAGTGGAAAGTACGAAACAGGAGCAGAACCGGAACTTGAATCCAGGCACTCCTATATGGAATGCAGGTGTCCCAAGGATGTCCTGACTGCTGTACAAAATGCCTGCCCTACCTTCAGAAGTCAGCATGCCTGAATGCTTCTTTCATTAGATTCAATTCATGCATTACCTTTCTGAGTCTACTCTTCAGCTAATCTAAAGTACTTCCGTGCACCCCAATCCTGTCCTTCTATCAGGTACCCAATTCATTCTTTCTTATGCATATGTTGATCTCCAATCCTTTCTTGTTCATACATGAACTGACTTGCTTATCAGCTGTCTCCTCTCTAGAGGATAAGTTTCATGGGAGTAGGAGTGAGGTCCCTTGTTTGCATCTGTGTCTCTGTACCTTCAAGGGCACCAACAACACAATCGATGGCAGGTGCAAAAGCGAGTGTCTACCCCAGGCTGCTCCTCTTCAGCTCATCCAGGCACCAGGTGCTGGTGGATGCAGTGCTTCAGACTCAGTCAGGCTGATGGGTGGCACATCTTGTGCTGTGGTTGGCTGCATGGGGACACATTTTGGTCTCTCCCTCTCCAGCTCTCCTGGTCTTCTCTGTGTTGATATGGCACCAAGAAGCATCTAGGGAGGCCAAGAGTAACCCCTATTGAAGGAAGTAGGGTGTTTGCCTTTTACCCGAGGGCTGGTGAGACCCTGTGCCTTTTGTTTCTCTTCTTTTTGGACAAGACCTTTCATCCTATGCAGAGTTCTCTTGCTAGCTATGCAAATTAGCTTTCCCTCCTCCCCACTGAGGCTCTCAATATACCCCAAAGACAGCCACTATCTTTTTATAGGTATTTGTATTTCCTATCTTTGTTTTTCAACAGCTAAAGAGATAAAAAATCACATTTTCCATGGCTCCAATACATTTTTCATTGATTAGAATGCTTTACAAATCTATATTCACCAGTTAACAAAAATTGATCAAAAGCCAACTGTGTTGGTGACTAGTGAACTGAGTGCAATAGAATATTAAATAGTTTCAAAGCTCTGTAGAAATAAAAACATAAATATCTGCTTATTGGTATTCTTCAGTGCTCTGCTTTACAGAGATCAGCTCTATTTGGGTTTTTAATTAACTTAGGTTTTTTTGCCTAGGAAATGTTGAAACAGTTGAATCAGTCTTCCAAATGCCAGGTGAGACTATTTGAGTTTGAAGAAAAAAAATAAACAGAAAAGGTGCCAGGTTAGGAAATGAAACCAGCATACCATACCGGCTGCTACTCATCATTGTGTGAAAATTTCAGCTTCACAATGAAGTATGTTCAGAAATTGACCTGCAATTGCATTCTTCATTGCACCATAAAAAAACAAAGCGAAGGGGCCAGAAAAATCCGAGTCGAACGATTTACATTTATTTCAATGTGCAGTTCATACTTGGCTGAAAATTGTATATAGGCATGAACTGTATTTAACTTGTGTGCCTCTGACAGGTGTATGCGGATGTTCCCAGCCCTGACACAGTTCAGAAGACAAACTCATAGCTCCTGCACATCTCTTCCCAACTCTGTCTTCAGTGAGGTTGAGTTGTTAGTTCTAAGCCACCCATGATGGGAGAACTACCTGGAAATTAATAAATAAAAAGTAGGGCTGAACTTAATTTTAGTTGATGGTCTAGATTCAAGAAAGAAATAGAGAAAATGTTGAAAATGCAGATTAAACTTAAAAATTTTTTGTTACATTTGAATAGCACAAAATAATGAGAACACTTTTTTTGGTATTTGAAAATTATTATCCAATCTGGCAAAGAATTAATTCATAGCACTGACACAAGGATGAAGTTTCAACACCCATGTGTCTTACTTGTTACCACAAATGAAAATATTAACCAATATTTATGCCAGGACTGAACCTAGACAGCTGAGTGTTAACCACACTATGGCCAGAGAGATAGTTGGGAACCAGGTGATAGATGAATTTAATGCATAAGGTAAGGTTTTTAAATTTTAATTCTGAAATGGGAATATATTGAATAGGTTAAAGTAGATGAATAAGAGGACTTGAACTCTGTTCTGAGTGGATTCCTTCTGGGGATTGGAATAGAATAGAGCACAGGTGAACAAAAACAGAAGCAGAGCTGAGTTGGGAAAACATAAGGGGCTTCCCCTGGTTGTGAAGGTGGCTACATTAATGAGAAATCAGACCTGACTTGTAGTTTTTAGGCAAAGTCAACAGGACTCACTGATGATTTAAATGTGGTTTAGAAGAGAAGAAAGACATCACAGAAACTCTTGGACTTTGGGCCCCAAAAAAGTATAAGAAAGATGTAAAATTTAATTATATAAGTAAGTCAAATGAAGCAGAAATAGCTGGGAGAAAATGCAGAAACAGTTAAGAATTCTGTTTTGGATATATTAGATGTGTGTTGTGTATCAGGGAGAAGGAGTAAGGCTTGTGTTTTTGACAGAATAGGTATTCTAGAGCACTTAATAGCAAAAAGAGTTACAGGAGTATCCCTTAGAGAGAGGGGGAGAGAGGAGAAAGGATGCCAGCTGACTGGGGCAGCTTAATGTCTGTATGTAAGTATGTAAATGACAGTATCTAAGTCACTGGATGGTACTCACTATCTGGTTAACAATAGTTCCTCCTTGATAAAAATCAACCACAGCCTGTTGAAGAAAACTTAGAGCAGGTAGACAACGTGGTAAAGGGGAGAGATTTTCATTACCCTAAGACACCATTAGGTGTGGAAAATGCATCCGTTTTTTATCTTAATATCTTTTCTGGGGCTGGCACTGTGGCGTAGCAGATAAAGCCTACCGCCT